ATTGAATGACAATTGCAAAAGCTCGTATATGTCATTAATTACAAGAGCAAAATGAGTCAATCATCCGCATAAAATGTAACTTTTCCATTGGATAATTAAACCGTTCTCAGTAGATCGCACACACTGAATAATCAAGATATAACTGAGCAATACACTTACCTACGCCATTATGATGAACTTGAATTTGATGTTTGATTGCGAACAATTCAGCAGTAAATGCCGTGCCACACTCCAAACAGAAATAATTGTTGTGAATGTTATGTCGCAGGTTATGAACGTGACCAACTGCCAGTTTGTCTATACGAATGCCTGTGCACTCCGGTAATTTACACACCAGTTCACCACGCGAATTGCGTATAATGTAGTTCTCCGAGATGGGTATAATTGATTCCGACTGAATTGCATTGAATAAGTTAACCTTCGACAAACAAATACAGCAATCGAAATCATCACAACACTTTTTGTAAAACATTCCACGATTCTACTATACCGTCAAAATGACCTGACCGTTCATTTACCGATATCCGTACAAAATTCAAATCACATCTTATTGCATGTTCAGTTGAATAAATTCACTTCTATCATTAGTTAAACGAACTTGTGCAGTCGAAGTTGAACGCTGTGATGAAATGCTGTGGCTTGTTTGTCTTGAAGAGAGGTAATTATTGCTCGATGTTGAAGGATTAGAACGACCAGACGTGCCCGTCCCAGAAGCATTCTGAGAATACGAAAAATATGAAATGAAATTATGAGAACTTTGTTGAACGTAGCAGACAGAACAAGTGCTTAATATGTTTCAAACGTTCACGCATAGCAACACCGAAACAATAATTACTCGAACACGAACACACACCGTTAATGAGTTGGCTGATGACCACTGTCTTAAACCAGATGGCGGTAATGATTTCGGCTGCATACGCACTCGAACGTTTGCTGCTGGTAACTGAAAACGGACGCTACACTCAGAATGTACAATTTGATGGATTCAGAATACCATTTGGACACAGTACTGAATAATGACACAACAATATCAATGTTAAACAGATATTTTGTTGCAAAAAATATTTTGCTTTTGTAAAATCTGAAAAGACTTCTCAAAACAAACAAAAAAAATTCAAAAGACCTGCTGTTGTCGAATAGTTGACGACTGCGCCAAAGAAATTTTGCTGCTGCTAGATCGATTGAAGGACTGTTGTTGCTGTTGTTGAGCATTGACAGTATCGTGCCGAGTCGCTAGTCTTTGACGTAACGCAGCAGAATTGAGTGCCTGTGACTGAGTAACCTGTCCATTACAATTGCTCATATTAACAGTATTATTATTGTTATTAAGCTGCGGTATGCTGTCGACGACTCTTTGCTGTTGGTTGGATAAATTTGTCGAAGAGGACAACGAGGATGCAGTTACAGCACGAGCAAGAGAACCAGAAGTAGAAGTAGAAGACTGAGGATATGTAGTGCTGCTGCTGGTGCTGTTGTTCGGTCGCTGACTGCCTTGAATTGATCGCATTATTCTATTCACTTCTTCGTTGAGCATAAATGTCGCACCACTGATCAATCGGTCTGTATTTAGTGACGACGAAAACGTTGGCGTTGATGAGCACGATGGTGTGGTTGCGATTGTGACTGATGGTGTTAGAAGTGGAGGTGCTGACGATTGTGTCTGGTGATCACTGGTCGTGTTGTTGTTGTTGCTTAGAGTTGACGATGACGACGACGCGATCTGTTGTTGCCTTGACTGCACCGACACTTGCAAATTGTTCGTATTGTTCGAGTTCGATGCAGACAACGGTATGCCCGACTGCTGACCAAAAACAACCGCCGAGGAGGGTTGTGATAGGAGAACGGATAAATTTTGTACAGTTTGCGATATGACAGGTGCTGGATAGGGCTGAGCGAGCGCAGCCGGCGAGACGGGACGTTGACTGCGGTTATCGTTCTTTTTCTCAGCGGTACCACCCTTGTCTTTACGCAGTCTTGCCGTTCGCCAAAGTCGAATCATCGCAGACAATATGTCACCATTATCATCAGTGCCACGATACAGAACACCCTTCAATTTTAGTCTTTATCTATTGCACATGTGTTTCATGTTTGCACAATAATCTTTATATCATAAAAAATATCACAACCCTGATATCACAAGTTAAATATCACGCAAATGAATCCATTTTTT